GATTAACCTTTAATTATCAAAAAGATGTGCAACTTCAAATGTTCGTTTTGGCAAAGTTGACTTGGAGCAATATCCTGCACTAGCAGAAGAATATAATATTTCGTTATTACCGACTAGTTTGGATCTTCCTACGTTGATTTTGCTCAAGAATGGTAAAGAAATTTCGAGATTACCACAGAAAATCAGAGATGGAACCGACGAAGATTTGAACAAAATAAAGATTAAACCTCTTAGAGATGTAAAGGCCACATGGGATCGCTTAGGATGGGACAGGAGCATGGTAATACAATACAATACAATAATTATCTTATGCAGATTTTTTATATTTGAAGTGAAGTGTTGATTAATTTCTTAACAATTTTAGAAATCAATAATTACAGAATTTAAACTTGAAAGTTTACACAAGACAACTTAAGTATCAAATATGATTTTCAAATTGATACTATATTTATAATTACTGATAATAATTTTTATACAAGTAGAATTTTGGATCAGCAACTAATACATTATTTTCAATTTACTGGATTAGAGACTCTTCAAAATCTAAAATGCACATTTTTCAGTCATATAATTTTGAGAATTTCGAATTATAGATTAACCATTTGCAATGTTGTGCATCATTTTTCATAAAGTCAATACGAACATATAATTATATGTGCTCGACTATATGATGAAGAAGGCATTACATCATGCACCTAATTTGTTTTCATTTACTAACCCTGACTTGTCACGTTTGACTTTGCTGTATTTCCGATATCATGATTATGTTCCAACTTTGTTGAGATAATTTCCCATAACCCTGATGTACCATTCAAGGAAGCACGAACTAAAAATGGGCATTTACATCGTTGAGATTGACGATTACGCGTTGGTTTATCCCCACTTTCCTTTTTTTTACTTGAAGTTCCATTACGCGAACAAACTATTTCTCTCCATCGCACAGCACCAGCTTTGTTCCTTTTTAATTTATGGAGCCTCATGGTAAAACCTTGTCGTATCGCATATTCTTGGACTGCTACTACAAAATCGGTATGGCTTGTAAACGTAGAACCATGACTTAAGTAACCTTGCTTGCCATTCGTGTTATCGCCATTTGTTCTCTCAGCTTTTGCTGTAATGGATGCTGAAACGAGTGAAAC